CGGGGGCTGCTGCTCCCTGCCCGCACCAGCCTGCCGGGCTACATCCCCAGCTCCTTTGCCTCGGATCACTTCTTGCCTGGTCCAACCCAGGAGATGAGCCAGAAAGCCTGTGGGGAAAACACAGCGGACTTCCCAGACCTCCATCAGCGTCACCCCAACCTGACCAAAGAGCTGGAGACGATGCTGTGAAGCGGACGGTGTCTCTCCCGTCTGGACGTCCAGCTGTGCCTGGGGAGACGCTGGTCCTCACGCTTCGGGCTCCTTTTACGCTCACACAGAGCCGGGGAAGGGGATAGATAGCAGCTGGAACCACAGTTTGCTTTTCCTCGCGGCCAGCGTGCAAAGGGACCACATGCTCTCACTCCTTTTACCTACCTGGCCGAAAAACGAGCATCCAGTTCCAAACCTCATCTCCTTCCACACGCAAGTGATTGATGTGACGTCTGTGCATGCAAAGCCTCGAATCATCACCGGGAAACCCTCCTCCAGTCTTACCTCGACAGGCTGGAAGGTGACTGCAGCTGCAGCGTGTATGAAGCCGGTTCAATCCGACTCCCCTGTTCAGCACCAATTCCTGCATTGTCCAGCCCGGGGCAGGCAGAGGGAGCAGTGCCCACGGAGCTGTTCCGCAGCTCACCCTGCCCTTCTCTGCAGACTTGTGCAGCTCAGACACTGGGAAGCCCAGCACACAACACCCAGGGAGCAGGAGTCACCGGGATACGATGGGCTCCGGGAGGGAAGCTGAGCTTTACGGCCTGGGAAGGGCGCAGGGAAACGCCTGGGTACCCTGGCTTTACAGCACAGCTGTCCCTAAACCCGCAGAGCCCTGCACGCAGGAGCCTCGGCTCTGGAATCTTTCTGCGGGCTAAGAAGCGAATAAAGAGTCTGTACAGCTTGCTTCTGTCCTCAAACTCCACTGCGGGCTCTGGGGTGTTACGCGCAGCGATCGGTTACTGGTGGGCAGCAGAGGGTGGAAACCAGCCACGGTCCCGGCTCTGCTTCCCCTGCTCGCTGGTGGGGACACGGCAGCCCCGATGTCCCCCCACCCACGCTGCTGCACGGGCACTGCCTGGGAAAGCTCCTCACCCTGATGGGAAAAGACATTCCCAAGGAGCTTGTGATGCCCAGCGCAGACAGCTCAGCCAGACACAGGGGAGGGGAGCGTTACGACACTGTCAGGAGAGCGGGTACGTACGCCAGTTAAAATTGAACAGCTTGTTGGTGGTAGCTCGGAGAATTTTTTTCCTACCTGCTCTTAATGAGACACATTCCCTCAGGGCTGTAATTTCAGGATAAAGACAGTGACAGAGAACATGTAACTAATTCTGTGCATTCCCAGATCCTCCAGCGAGCAGCCACGATACAAAGTGAGTCAGAGGGATTAGAAAGCTCTGGAGGGACGGGCAGGAGGCGCGTCAGGGGAGGGAAGGGTTCCAGGATTCACATTCTTTACATAGTCCAGAAGATGGGGTGGAATCAGGCACATCTGCACCACCTCCCACCCAAGAAAGCAAGGGTTGTACGACAGGGAAGAGGGTTCTCGGCACAGCTGGGTGGTGGCAGCGTTTGCCCCACTCTGGGGGACGAGAGACAGAGCGTGGGCATCAGAATCCCAGGGTTACACTTTACAAACCAACCCGAGCTTCCTGTAAGGGATTTGTTCAGCTGGGAGTTGTGCTTCGGTCTCTTTCGAAGCGAGCAGCACGCCCTGCCGCTGCAAGGAGAGAGGTTCTCTTTCGGGGTGGTTGGCATGCTGCTCACACTGCCGCCTTGTTCTGCCGAGAAGGAATCAGCCCCCTGATGTATCCAACACAGACCCGTGAACTGACATTTACAGCGCTCTGGCAGTGATCAATATTTACCCACTTGGGTCTCAGGAGGCTCCTGGTAGCTGAGAGAGGGGTGAGGAATTTCAATCATCCTGCAGAACAGAGGGATGCGTTAAAAAGAAGAGAAACCCAACCACATGCCACGTCCAGGGCCAGCTCCCAGCGGCAGCGAGCTGAGATCCACCAAGGGAGGGAGCAGATGGCAGCTTCGGACTATGGAGCTATTTTTATTATTTTTTTGGTTTTGAAACTCAAATCTTTAATTTGCGCAGAGTGGTAAACCTTAAGCGTGATGAGGAAAGGGGAATGCAACAGCTCCTAACCCCCTGCTGCATCTGCACTTGTCTCAATATCAAGCACACAGAGCTCAAACCAGTGCGATGAGGTTTCTGCCTGGACTGTGATGAGAGAATTCAAGGAAGCTATTTAAAAAAAAAAACAACCCAGCAGATGAAAGCTAGTTAGTGAGGGGGGGGCAAATAACCAACTTGGTGTCTTAACTGAAACCAGTACACATGCAAGTCAGATCACAAGACTGCTGCTGAGTTCTCCTTCCAGGTCAACCAATGACCCCATGAAAGGCTGGGATGAGCAAAATGTCCCGGGCTGTATCCTTCCCACTTGCAAAACGGAGAAAAAAGTCTATTCCCCAGGGGGCTTTGAAGCTAAAATAGGGTTTGCAAAACAGTTTGAGGTGAAAGATACCGAGGAAAACCCGAGGAAGTCTTTTATCAGACATCCACAACTGCTGGTGAAAGGGACGCGGTCAGACCTCCAGCCAGCCAAACCTCCATCCCAACGCCAGAGCAGCCAAAGAAGTGGAGAACAAAAAGCACATGCTAGGTATTTTTGTCCCAGTAATAAAACATTTACTAGAGCAAGCAGAAAGTAAATGCACAGCTGATAAAGAAAACATCACAATGTCACAAAAACCTGACAGTTTCCGATACTTCTTTCAGTAGAAACAAGACAGAGGTGGGTGCTGACATGTGTCAACAAAAGAGTTCTTCCTTACCTTTATGGCGCAAAAAAAAAAAAAAAGTTAAAAAACAGATAATACACACAACGAGTTAAAAATGGTCAAGCAAGATTTTACAGTTTTAACTACGTGTGTCCAAAATGGGGCGATATCTGAGCTGTTCCACTTCATCAATCACTTTTTTCAGGTTCTCCCTAAAGGCTTCTGAGCAGCAGGTCCCTGAATTTCAGAATCAAGCCTCTTCGTTTAGCTACGCTTCACGAGGGGCACCAGCCTTTGACTGTTGTGGGGTATCTATGTTTTTTTTCCCTTTTTTGATTTTTGAAGAAAGCACTCAGCCCTCTCATAAGAGAGGGTGCACAGGCACAGCAGAGAGACAAGTTTGCTATGCAGGCTTCCACCGAAATGAAGGTTATTAGGAAGGAAGATGTTCTTTAAAAGGAAAAAAATACCTGGGCAGTGGGATTGGGATTGATGTACTGACCACAGCCAAGCCAGGGAGCCCATCCTACACTATGTGGGAATTTGCGGTTAGCTGGGCTGGAGAAGGATCACTTGAACAGCTTCATAAAAAAATGAAAAAACCCCAAAAAAACAAAAAAAAAACAAATGAAAGAAAAATCAACTTGCTTTATCCCACCTTCAGCAATGCAAATTGATTAATGGGGAGAGATGTAAGAGACAACCTGGAGGCCAAATTATTTGTGGATAAGAGAATATATAAAAAGAAGAGATTGGGGAAGAACTCACCATATTGAACAAATTGCCGAAAGATTAACAATGTTTAACAGTGGGTCCTGAGCATCTCTAGATGGACTGATTTTTTTCAAATGTGAACGCTGGTTAAGAAAACACTACCTTAAACTTCTATGGACAACAGTTTCTTAACGTTCCAAGGACATGAAACAGCTTCTTTCTTGTCAAGAAGATCTGTTTAAATCCAGCAGAGTCACTTGAGCACTGAATGTTTAAAAGCAGAACCCAGGGAGCTTTATCAAAATGATTTCTCTTTGACTAAGCATTGTGTGTACACATCATTAGAGTGAATCTGTCCGCAGATGTACTGGCCCAGACTTGCACGGGTGGTTTGCATGGTTTCCTTCTCCTCCCCCAGCTGCTCATCAACCAGTTACCAAAAACCCCAAGAAATCCTCTGGAAAAAGACAACACTACCTGCAGAGATTCCAGGCTGTGAAACACCAGCTTTTAACTGTCCCACCGGCTCTTCTTACGTTTTGGGGGTTCTGGGACAGCAAAACCATCTGTCTTGTTGTCTCGGCTGTTGGCATCTTTCCTGTTCTCACCATTCCTGTTCTCGTTGTTCCTACCTTCGTTGCTAAAAGCGTGCACTGTTATTGCGATTGCCACTGCCCACATCAGCGAAGTGCCGGCTTTCACCATGGCGATGGTTGTCGCCGTGTCGGCCCTCTCCGTGGCGGTAAGAAGCGTCACTGTGGCGACCGCCTCCTTCCCCGTGGCGTTGCACATCATTGTAGCGACCACCACCCTCTCCGCGGCGTGGGATCTCATTGTGGCGACTGTTCCGGTTGTCGTTGTATCGTTCTCTGACAACGCTGCCACCACTGCCG